GCAGTTTTTGCCAGACTCGCAGTTTGGCAGAAGGCGAAGTCACGCCTGAACGAAGACTCCTTTCAAAAAAGTGGTACCTGCAGGGGTGATGTGTGCGTCACCTCTGCCACACCTGCACCCTCACGATCCGTACTTCTGCACTGAGAAGACACCTCCAGCACCTGAAGGGGGTCCCAGCAGCTCCCTGCTGGTCCCAAACTGCCGCTTACGTAATGGGGCTGCCCCCGGGGTTGAGTGGCGTGAAAGGACCAGAGCCAGAGTCACGGGGAAACCAACCCGGCCGGCATGGCACGCCTGAGTGGCACGCAGTCTTTTGGCTTCTATCATACGAACACGCAAAGACTTGAGAGACCCAGGCCTGGGTTCTGTAGGAATTTTTTCAGCACTAGTCTGTGCGGTGCAGTAAGGAGGGCATGGCTTCGGAGGAACTCATCGCTCGCGTCAGCAATGCCCGTTTCCAGATGTCTCATCCTCCTTCCCAAGCCGAGCTCACTGAAATCACAATTTCCTTTTTTCTGGGCCTGGCCTATGATGTACATTAGATAAAGATTTCTTAAATGGGTGAAGCGACTTGCCCGAGTTTAAGTTGCATGTGGCTAGAGGCTGTTTTTCTCATTTGGGGAATTTCCAACACCTAGAACAGGACTGGCACACGGCAGGTGCTCAGAAGTTAATCATTTCATACAATGAATGATATAACTGTAAGTATAGTTATTACGCCTCAAAGAGGACAGATCTCCTAAGCTCACACCACCTTAAAGGACATAGATGGGGTGGGTGAGCTAAATCTTCCTAGCTCCAAGCAGGCAGCTTTTCTGGGCTGCGGTGCCCCCGCTGGAACACAGTTGAACTGCCCTGGGCCCAGGCAGATACCTGACCTGCTCTAGCGATGAGCTCCGTAGGCCACTGCAGGCTGAGGTCAGACCATGGACTTGGGATGGAACCCCTGAGGGTGGGAGGTGGGCTGGCAGCACCATCCTTGCTGGTGCCTGTGTGGATGGTCTAAAACAAGGACTTTGCAGATAGGGACACTCCAAATGTTAGTGACTGAAGGAGCAGGCTCGTGAGATCAGAGTTGAAGCTGGCAGTGGAATCAGTACAGCCGGAGAGATCTCCTGGAAGACGGGGATTGGAGAAGAACATCGAGCCGCCGAGAAATCAGAGAGGTAGATGGCAAAGCAGGGGAGCACAGCCACGGAAACCCGAAAGGAAAGTGTCCCATGCAGGAGGTCCTAGGGGAAGATGCTGAGGACCGGCAAAGTTCGCTGAACTAGGCTGAAAGGAGGAGGAGCCACGATGTTTACACAGCCAGAGCTTCGCCTTCACCGGTGAGGTTCAAATCTCTACCCAGCCATTCAACTTACACTGAGCAAGAGACTTACCTCTTAGGGGCTTTAGCTTCCTTACTTATAAAAGAATGGTACCTATTTATAGGGCCCTTAAAATACCTTGCCCAGAACCCAAAACAAGGGAAGCGGTCAATAAATGCTGCTATTATTATGTTGGCGGTGGTGTTGTTATCGCAACTGCTGACCTTTAAGAAGAAAATATCAGTTCGGTGGGGGGAAGGGACAGGGAAGGGAAGAAGATGGGAACTGGACCGCAGGAAGTTAAGAGGGAGAAACCGAAGCTATCGGAGAGAGAGGGAGAGACGGGAGCAGGCGTAGGCAGAGATGTCCCCCCAAAGGAAAAGGGGGGCCCCCAATTGCCAGCCCAGTCAGTGTTCTCTGCATTCTGGCCTGTATTTACCAGCCAGCCCCTTGGGCCAGAGCTGAGGGGTCCTTCTCTCGGCCTCTTACAGAGAGTGTGGGAGAAAGCAGACTTGCCTAGAAGCTCAGAAGCCTGAGCTCTGGCTGACCCTGGCCATTTGCACTTGGCTGAGCCCCTGTCCTTCCTGAGCCCTTGCGTCCTCCTCCATAATTGCGGTGGCCGGTGATCATCTTGGTGATTCTGTAAGCGTGTCATCGTACTAAGCATTATATAAAACGTTGCCTCTTCTGAAGTTTTTCTCCACTCTAATTAGAAGGAAGGAGGGGGGAAAAAATCTTTGAGCTGAAGCTATCACTTCTTCCAGCAATTGGGACAATATTTCTGTTTCACACGTATTGCCAGCAGATCTGCACTGGCAGATAGCGCCTGAGCCTCCTGGAGTTTTAAATAGCATGTGCACTTTGCCTTGGCCTTCTGGAGCAACGCAAGAGAGAGAGGCAGGAGCTTTGTGCTAGGCTGAGTGTTGCTGTTGACAAAGCACTCAATGGCTGCGGGCTTCTGAATCCTCAGAAATAACAACAATTACTGCGCACACCACACTCTGTCCTCCAAGGCAGCAAATACATCAGCTGCTGGTTATTTTGATATCCTGGATAAAAAGCTCTTTTGAGAAAATCTAGTGCAGAAAAACATTCTTATCCTCTACTTGTCTGCACCAATCCTTGTGCCTGCTGCCCTCTCAGCTGTTTTTCATTCCTATAAATGTAGCTGGTCCAGACCTTCAGGTCCTTCCTTCAAAGATCCAGGAGGACATTTCCATTTGGGTCCCCCACAAAAGTGGAAGAGGCAAGAGGAGAGATACCTGGCTATGGTCTCTGTACCAAGGCCAGTCTGATCTGGAACCCACAGGAAACCAATCCAGTGTGGATGGGTTATCTGACGGCCATGAATGGCTCTGATCATTGTTGGAGTCAACAAGTATTTACTGAGCACCTACTGTATGCCTGGCCCTGTGCTAGGATCTGAGGAAACTGTGATAAATTTGGCCGAGGCCTAACGATCCAGTCCCCAGTAGAACATAAGCTCTCTGAGAATAGGTACCTCAGCCATCCCTCAGTGCCTGGCACATAGTAGGCTCTCACAATTAATCTTGGAGATATTTGTTTGTTTGTTGCTTACATGGTTTTATTTATTCAAGGTCCTTAAAGTTCAAGGACAGAAACAGCTAGTCAGGGATGAAAAGGAGCTCTTATTAAACCAACGTGTGACATCAGAATATGATCATGAATCGGGTAGGAGGCATCTAGGCTTATATTCTGCCTACATCATTTTTATATTTCCCTCTTACACACCACATGAAAACAAAAACAAAAACAAAAAAATCGTAAGTGCCCCAAATCCTTTTGTCCTTCTGGGAGACGCCACAAGGACACATGCAGAGGCTCTGCATTCAACAACCAAATTTCCAGTTATTCTAAAAATTCAACTTCATCCCTAAATTCTCGGGCAGCTATTACATAAAACTTAGGGCTGGTGCTTTCAAACAAGTTCATACACGACGTGATCGATTAATGAATTTGCCCTATTGTCTGGAATTAAACAAATTGACAATGATAAATTTCCTAATGGATCTGATGCTACTTCTGCAGAAAGGGTCATTTATGGTGTCCCCCCGTCACTAGCATTCACCTCCAAAGTCTGTGCCTCCACCAGTCTGCACTGGACAACTCAGAAAGGGGTGAGCCTTTGCTGGGAAAAAACAAGCCTGTGCCAAAGCTAAAGCTGACTTCCAATTCGGAAAATTTCTTCCCACTCATCTTTCTGAGAACATGCATAAATTGGGTGAACTTAGGTGTGGGGCAAAGGTGAAAATAGAAAGAAGTGGAGCCCGCAGACCAATCTGTGTCAAAGGAACTGAAAGAGTCTAGGAAGGGCCTCCAGTGGGGGATAAAGGGCCACCCTGGCACTTAACAACAGGAACCCCTGTTTGCTTGAATTATGCCGGCATGGCTTCCCCAACAAAGAAACTTGGTGCCTCTCCCTCTCCTGGTCTTTCCTCATATCCCTTCCTCCCTGTGGCAACAGGCACAGGGTGGGGGCTCAGCATATGGTGTGCTCAGGAAAAAAATATACACATGTGACTGATTTCAACCCCAGAGAAAGTAGGGTGTGAATTTTGAAAGACCTATGAACCACCCCCAAAAACATTATTACAATTCACGATGCACATTTGTTGAAGAATCTGACTTAAGGGATATTTCAGACTCACTAGTGTGGAGCTGGAGTGGGAAAAGGCAGGCTGCGGTCGGGGCCAGCCTACCTGTCAGGTTCTGAGTCCATGGAACCCAAGAAATGTTGGAAGGCCAGCCAGGAGCTCCCTCCTGGCTTAAAGTCTGCACGGTGGAGTTAAGAGGAATTTGAGCAGGCCGGAGAGTGGCTTAGAAGGCCAGCTGGGTGGGTCAGTTTAGAGTCACAGCCCCCTTGCAAAGCTGATGGAAGTTGGGGACCCTCTATCCAGAAAAACGCACACGCTGCACGCAGATGTACAAATTGGCCTACAATTTCAGTGGGTTCAGGGAGCCCCCAGGAAACTTCCTCAACTGAAGTTAAGGCCCTGAGACTAGGTCCTGATGCCTAACTCCTCGGTCCCTTGACCCCAAGCTGGACTCGCCAATGCTCAGGGGCCTTCTAGCTGGTTCTGGGTGTCAGAGCCGCCGCCCGCCCTCGTGTCGGAGGAGCGCCGGGGCCTGCATCTTCTGGAGTTCCCTTGGGTGCTCGCTTTTCCCGGGGTGATGCCAGGCGTCCCAGGCAAAAAGCTCCCTTAGCTTTTCTCGCTAGACTGTGAGGAGCTGCCAAGCCTAAGGTACGGAAGGTTAATGCCAGGCAGACCCCCAGGTGCTGGGGGCAAGCATGGGCTGGGGAAGGGCCAGAAGGTGCTGGAGCTACTGCCACCCACCCACCTGCAGACTGATGGCCCATTGGTGGCCCAGGGCCAGCACCCCCCGCCTGGTGCCCCAGAAAATCCCCGCCTGTGCTCGGCGCGCGCAGCCCCTCCGACCCCCGTGGTTCTTTTTGACCTCTGTCTGGGGCTTTGACCCTTTCCCTGCCTGGGTCGAGCCAGCCCTCCTGGGAGAGATTGATCCCTAGCTCCTCGAAGCCCCCAGCGCCCTGCGCCCGCGCCCAGCATGAGCAGGTGCGGGGCTGCGGAGCGATGTAGCGCCGGACGGATTTGGAGTGAGGAGGAGTCCGGGAGGAGGGGCTAAGAATTTCAGAAGCTGTGGTAAAGCCTCTCCGAGCTCCTGCGCGCCAGAGAGCGCCGGGAGCCGGAGGGGAGCGCAGCGCTGGGTGAGTCCGGAGCCCGGAGCCGAGCCCCGAGAGGGGCGCAGGGCAGACAGGGGCGCGGGCCGGCGGGGCTGAGCTCTCGGGAGGGAGTGCATGGATCCCGGCCTGGTCAGATCTCGCGGCCCTCCCGAGGCTCCCGCGGGCTGAGCCGCGGCGGGGAGAGATGTGTCCCGAGAGGGTGCAGGAGCGCAGGAGCCTCGGCGGGCGGGCGAGTCCGGGGAAGCCGCGCGCGCTCCGGTCGTCCAGTTCCCGGTCTTCCGACGGCCCGAAGTCTGGGAGGCCACCCTGGCGCCTGCAGCAGCCGCACGCGGTGCCAGGGACAACTAACTCGAGGGACAGCGCGCGATGGAGGGAGAGAGAACGCGCGCAGAGAGAGGGATGCGCCGGCGGCGACCGCGCAGGGGCCGGCGGTTTTGCGCCGCGCAGGGCGAAGGCGCCGCGCGCGGGGCTGGGCCGTGCGCCGAGTGCGGGAAGTGCTGCGCTGCCCCCAGGTGAGGGGACCAGCGGGGCAGGGCGCGCTGGACCTGGTGCTGGGATCGGGGCAAGGGTCTTCGATAGCCTTCTCGTTGCTGGAGGGCTGGGAGTCCGGAGTGAGGACTCCTCCGGCTTGATGGAGGAAGCCCGCGCGCCAAGGGACCTCCACGGAGCCCGCGCCGGACCGAAGTCGCCAAGGCTCAGCCGGCTACTTGGGTCACACGCCTCACCTCCAGCTGTCTGCTGCCAGGTGTGGGAGAAGCTGGCATGAAGGGGTGGCGCGGGCAGCGCCCTGGATCCAGGCAGCAAAGACAGGACCCAAGGGTCAGGGAGCGACATCTATGAGCCAACATAAACAAGAGGCTTAGCTCTGTTTGATTACATTTATTCTTTCCAAAAAAAAACCAAAAAAACAAAAAGCTCTGAAATCCTCATGGAAGGTGTTTTCTGCTTGAACTTTCTCTTCTCTAGTGACTCGAGAGATTAAAAAAGCCTGCTTGCTAGGCTGGTTTTTCCAAGTTGTTCCAGGTTGGAAGTTGTAACAGTTTGAAGGATAATTTATGGGTGTTTCATGCATTAAACTGTATTACAGCAAAGCCTTTTGGGTGCTGTGGGTATTAAGGAAAACTTGGTGCACGTTCCCAGCTGGAAACCAAAATAGTGCTCTCCTGGGTGTCTCTGCCCTGGCTGTCATCTGAAGCCAGAGGAAATCCTGGAGAAAAGGCACTTGATTAATTGTCCTGGCTCCATCCTCTGGGCGTACCCACTGCCAATGCCAGCCCCTCCTCCCCCACGTGCTCCGCCAGCTGCGATCTGCAAATTCAGAAAAGGTGGTGGAGAGCCTACCAGTAACTTCCCTCCAGGGTGTCTTCAAACTCTTGAAGCTGTCAATTGAGTCTGCAGGAGGGAAATCTTTCCTACCCAATGTCTGAAACTTCCTCCCTCTGCAGAGCCACAGAGGAGAATCTAGAAAGTCTGTATTAGGTCTGCATGGGTCTCTAAGTCAGTCAGCTGGGGCGACCCAAATGTCGCTCCACGGTGGGCAGAGAGTCACAGGGAACTGGGGGCTAAGGGGAGGAGGTGAGTGAGTGGTCTGGGGGCTGAGACTGGCCCTGACTCACAGAAGGAATGACTTGTTCCTCATGCTTGGGTCTCTGGAGGGCGACAGGGCTGACAGCACATGTTGCTTACACTCTCCCCCAGCCTTTCCTCAGCATTTGAGTGCAGGTGGAAAACAGGCAGCCTTGAAGAGGAAAATGTTAGGAGGCACCACGAATGGGAAACCAGGGTCTCTGGGGCATGGGGACATGGGCATTGGAAGAACCGTGGGAGTACCTCAGAGGATTGTATAACCTGCTGCGAGGGCCACGCCCCCCCGGCCAAGTCCTACCCCTAAAGCAGCCCCGGGCCCACTAGAGAATTAGGACATTGGGTCCACTCAGGGCAGTTGTCCTAGTGTTGGTGACTCTTTCTGTACCCTTAGCCTTTTCCCAAGGAGCGAGGTTCTCACCTCCTCCCATGGCCCACCCCACACCTCTCATCCGGAGAACCAGAGGGAGAAGGGGGTGAAGCTTCACACTTCGCTTCTCTTGCATGGAGAAATCTGCCTTGGGGAGGAAGGGGGCCCAGCTGCCGACATCAGCAGGGAGAGGAGGGCAGGGCAGGGCAGGGCTGCAGCCCGAGGGAAGCTTCTCATCATTACTGAGATTAAACTGATGAGAAAATCCGCACAACTTCGCTTTTCAAAGCTGCTGAGAACTCCTGCAGTGGCTTCGTGGAGTAGCGCCCTACTGCTGTGGCGGCAGCTGCGCTGGAGCCACAGAGAAACTAGGAAGGACACAGAGCTACTGTTCTTTCCTGCTGTGCATTGATAAGGGCCAGGCTCGGACCCCCAAGCAGACATCAGTGCCACACTAGAGACCAGTGGCCCAGCCGTTTATCTTCTCCCAGGAAGACCCTGTAGGGACTTAGGGGTCCAGAGCAGGCAAGTCTTGGAGACCTGGCTGGCGGCAAACAGTCTCTCTGCTCTCAGGAGGCAATGGCAGGCTTGCTGAGGATTCACTTAAAGTCTCTGGACATCTCTGAGCAAATGACCCATGTTCCCAGAGGGCTTCTCTTTCTTTGACTGGCACCTCTGATCTTGCAAATCATTGGTTAAACCGTCAGCTCTCAGGCTTAGCCCGTCCTGAGAAATGAACTCTGTGCTGGACCAGTGTTACGGAATAGCATACGGTGGCATCAGGCAAATACATGGAGATGGAAGACCCTTCCCAGACACCTTGCCTCCTAACAGTGGGAAAACAGTTAGCATCCTAACTCTAAGTAGCAGTGAAACCAAGGCAGAAATGTAGCCGGTGAAACCGAGGCTTTGGGGGTCCCTGGCCTTCCAGTGGAATGTGCACAGGGATTGTCACTATTTGATCCAAGGAGAACAGCCCTTCAACTACAGACTTTGGCTAAGGCCAGAATACTGACAGCGTTCAGAGTTTCTCATGCTTGATGACGTTTTCATTATTCTGTGGGTTACTTTTCATCCTTTTGAGTAGTCTCTATAACTGTTGGCCTCAGACTGTGACACGGTAGGAATCAGATTGAAACATTAAGATGATCTCTTGTATTTTGGGTAAATGTCCTGTGGTAGTTTCCTGACTTCTGAGACAGGAGGGAAAGGAGCTTCGTGACCTTGAGGAAATCACTAAACTTCTCAGCTACATTGTCCCAATCTACAGGACAAGTGCATCGAATTAATAGTGTTTCTCAGTGGGGCTGTGGCAGTTAGGGACAATTCTTGGTTAAGTATGACCTATTACATAATACAGGAAGTTTCCCTACCTCGCCTGCTAAATGCCAGAAGTCATGATGACAACCCAAAATCACCCCCCCAACACCATATATGGCTAAATACTTATTATAAGGATAATACTTCTCCTAGCTGAGAAATCCCTTGGAAGTTTCCAGTAAGGCCCTTTCTTCCAGACCCCAATGTCAGGCATCTATTTAATCACTGAGTTGGGCCTTCGGAAGTCCAGCCCTGGGCTTAATCCTCAAAGAACCAGCATTTCAAGCTCCAGGAAGCCATTGGCTGGAACGTCAGTGCTATGTTCCCACCAGGATCATCCTTTGCCTTTTGTCAATGGAGTGTGACTAGAAATGACCCACATGAAAAAAAAAAAAACAAAAAAACAGAAAGAGCTGGGGGAAGGGACAGGTGGTATTAGAGCACGGCGGCCTCTTTCTGTGCCATATGTCATTAAAAACACAGACAGGCTGCCCGCCCTGGGAATCCACAACGCTGGGGGAGAGCCTTCCCTCCCATACTAAGTGGATCACACTCTGGGACCAGGAGGTCCCTTCCCTGAATGAGAGAACAAGGAAGCAGAACCTTTCCCTGCACTCACAGCACTTGATACAACATGGGCACGTGTTGGTATCAAATTAACATAACTGTGAGAATAAATGAGAATCGATGATGGGACGTTTGATTAAAAAAGATCAGCTGGCAGTACCACCGTGGAGGGTAGGTGCTTGTGGCACTGGGTTGATTCTCAAGGAGAACAGCTCACGCTATCCTTACCTTTGCTCCAAGCTCTTACAGGGGGACGAAAAATAGAACCTTTTGGGTATTCATAGTGCAAAGGGCCAAAATGAATATCTTTGTCGGATCTTATAGACAAGCCTACTTGCTATTCATCGCCAAGCAGTCGGAGAGAAAACTCCTGAGCTGGTATAGCGGGAAAGTTGGGGCTGGTCTGATAACGCCATCCGTCAGGGGCGACTAGCAGTTGCTGTTTGAATTGCCTGCGTTCGGCCCACCTCGTTCACTGTGGAAATCTTTTCATTAGTAGTCGTATTAGTCAGAGTCGGACAGTCAGGGTTTCCCTGAAAAGTCACCACCAGGCCAAGCAGATGGACATGTTTCGGCACCACCCGCAGTGGCCTCTGCAGGTGGACAGCCCTGCAGATGGGAGGATCTGGTCGGAAGGCGCGAGGGCCGAGCGTCCTCGGAAGCCACGCCACGTGGAGGGCCGGTGTGATCCACGAGGGCTGGCACTTTCCCAGGCACCGCAGAGTATTTGCCGTTTGGGACAGATGGGCTGGTTCTCTTGTTTCCTCTGGCTCTTCCATCAGTGGCCGGGGTCGGCGGTATATAGCAGCTGTCTGCTTGCTGCACGCTGTTCCGGAGTGAGCCCAGGGGGGACCACCTGGTAGGAGCCAGGAAAGCTCAGCGCAGGTTGCGGGTGCAGGGCGATTCTGTCTCAGCCCCTCATCGCTAGGGTCTGAGGTGTGGTTACAATGACTAGCATGTCTCAGTTGCCCCGTCTGATGAAATGCCATCATCCCATGTTTGGACCTGAGTAGACTGGCTCAGAGGTCAGCACACGGGGATACCACCTCATCTTTGTCAGTGACCTTGCGTTGAAGACCCACAGTGTGTGGGAAATGGCAAGGGACGCAGGCCCCCTCTGGACTGTGACTTTGAAGGGAGAGCAGCCAGCTGGACTAGGTAAGCAGAGAGGAGAGAGATGAGT